GGAAGTTAATGCATTTACATTCAAGGTTGATATGGATAGATAAGAACTGCCTGCTTTCATTTTGTCAATTGTTTCTGCTGTTGGTGAATTTGCACTGTTGTGTGTTTCCATGATGGTTACTTCTAATGTAGGACTCCTTTCAGGATTTTTTTAATAAGATTTATTTATTTATTTGAAAGTCAGAGTTACACTAAAAGAGAAGGAGAGGCAGAGAAAGAAAGAGAGAGATCTTCTATCTGCTGGTTCACTCCCCAATTGGCTACAACGGTCAAGCTATGCCGATCTGAAGCCAGGAGCCAGGAATTTCTTCCAGGTCTCCCATTTGGGTGCAGGGGGCCCAAGGACTTGGGCCATCTTTTACTGCTTTCCCAGGCCATAGCAGAGAGCTGGATTGGAAGTTGAGTAGCCAGGTCTTGAACCGGTGCCCGAATGGGATGCCGGTGCTGCAGGCAGCAGCTTTACCCACTACGCCACAGCACCAGCCCCTCAGGTTTTCTTATAGGACTGGTCCGGTGAGAATTCTCTTGGCTGTTGCTTGTCTTCTCCTTTACTTCACTGGATATAATACTGAAGGTTGGAAGCCTTTTCCCTTCTAGGCTTTGGATAGATTCCAACTCTCTTGTGATCATAGGGTTTCTGATGAGAAGTCTTTGTTAGTCCACTGGGTTTTACTTTATACGTACCTTGATTTTTATGTCACTTCCTTTAGGATCTTCTGCTTGTCTTTACCTTTAGAAAATCTGGTTAAAGTATGCCGTGGAGAATTCTTCTATGGTGTAGCTTCCTTTGAGCTTCCAGGATCTGCATGTTCAGATCCGTTTCAAGATATGAACATTTCCCACTATTGTTTCATTCAGTGGGTTCTCAATGTCTTTTTCCTTCTCTTCTCCTTTAGGTATCCTTATACTATGAATATTTTTCAATTAATGGTATCCCAAATGTCTCATAGGCTTTCTCCATTATTTTTAATTTTTTTATTTTTCTCTAATTTGGTTATTTCAAAGCCTTGTCCTCAAGATCAAAAATTCTTTCCTCCACTTGATCCATTCTGTTGTTGAAGCTCTCAATTGCATTTTTTTTAATTAGTTGACCTTTTCAGTTCCAAGATGTCTATTTGTTTTTAAAAGATTTATTTATTTGAAAAAGCAGAGTTAAACAGAGAGAAGGAGAGGCAGAGAGACAGAGGGAGGGAGAGGGAAAGATGGGGGGGGCAGACAGATGCATTGGGGAGGGGGAGAGGAGAGAGAGAGAGGGAAAAAGAGCGGGAGAGAGGGAGAAAGGAGGATTGATTCTATCTGCATCACTCCCCAGATGGCCACCACAGCTGGGGCTGCGCCAGGCCAGAGGCAGGAGCCAGGAACCTCCTATTGGTCTCCTACATGGGTGGCAGAAGCCCAAATCTTGAGCCATCTTCTGTTGATTTTCCCAAGCCATTAGCATGGAGCTGGATCTGAAGTGGCGCAGGCAGGACGTGAATTGGTTCCATATGTGATAACAGCATCACAGGTGGTGGCTTTTACCCACTATGCCACAATGCTGGCCCCCAAAAAACTCCATATTTTTAAACAATTATTACCATTTCTTGGATGAATTTATCCTTCAGATTATGTATTGTTTTTCTCATTTCTTCAAACTCTACCCTGTTGTATCTCATTGAATATTCTTAATATGATTTTTTGAATTTTTTCTCAGGCATTACAAAGATTTCTTCAAATCAGAAATATTTCAGTGGAACTACTTTTTTTTTTAAGATTTATTTTTTTGAAAGCAGTTATGGGAGAGAAGGAATCAATTTTCAAGCCACTGGTTCACTCTGCAAAAGGCTGCAACAGTCAGGGATAAGCCAGGCTGAAGACAGGAGCCTGGAACTCCAGGCAGGTCACCCAAGTCGGTGCCCTCCCAGGTGCATTAACAGGGAGCTGGATCAGAAATGGAGCATCTGGGATTTGAACCAATGCCCACATGTGATGCCAGTGTCACAGGCAGTGGCTTGACCCGCAATGACGGCCCCTACTGTGTCCTTGGGAGGTGCCATGCTTCCTTGCTTCTTCATGACTCCTATGTTCCTCTGTTGAGGTCTGTGCATTCAGTGTTATGGTTCCTTCTTTACAAGGTCAGTATCATCGGGAAACGCTTTTCTTGTTGTGTACATAGATTGCAGGGTATCACTTGGGTTGTCTGACTTTTGTTCTGGGTGAGCCCAGAGATGTAACCTCTGAGCAAGTTCTTAGCTGTAACCCATGTCAGCAGAGTGCCAGTTTTCTGGTCTGCAGCCGTAGTATGACTTTAAAGTGGATGTGGGCTTCCTGCAGTGTGTATCTTCACTAACCCATAGAGCAGGATCCTAATCACACTAAGGTTTCTGATGGCTGAAGCCAGACTCCTGGAGCTGTGTGAAATAGAAGGAGCTGTTCCCTCATTCTGCCATGAATATCCAGTAATATTGGGGCTTGTGGCACCAACAGCCATGGCCCCTGGAGTGTGTGATGTGCATGGGGCCTTCCCCAGGTCCTGCTTGGTGGGTGTGACTAATGCTGAAGTTTGCAGCACCTAAAACCCTAGTGCCACCACACTGAGATGTGATGGGGGCCTTGCACCAGTCATAGGATGGTCACAAGTGGTGAGAACTGGGGATTGTGCACAGGCAGGAATGGGTCTGGAGCAGAAGAAGAAAGGCACCATCTTCCCTGGGTCTTACAAAGCAGATTCTGGTGACTATGAGGAATACAGTCTGAACAGTCCCAGTCCTGGAACTATAGGGAGGCAGTGGGGCCTCACCCAGGTCTCCTAAGGTGAGAATCAGTTATGCCTGGGAATATGGACTGGCAGCTACCAGCCAGAAGCAAAGCAGAGCAGATGCAGCTCTGCAGATACCAGAGGTGAGTGCGAGTCACCCCAGGGTAGCAGCATCCACAGCAACAGTCACTGAGCTGCCAGCACAGAAGGACCCACCTCCAGTTCCCACAGTGCACGCAAGGACCACTTCCTGGCCACCCAGACGTGCGCGCTAAGAGACACTAAGTGAGGCGGCCTCGGGCTGGTCCTTGGAGATGGAGGCATTTATGGGCTGTGGCTGGCGTGGTGCCCCAAGAAGCCAAAGGGAAACGCCCGAGACCCCCGCCGCCCTCCACAGGGCGAGTTTGTGCTGTGCCTGGACTCCTGGGGTCCCGCGCTTTCCACTCACCTTCCCAGCAAGATGGCGGCCGGGCCTGGCGCTGGCGCGCAAGCTGCAGGGGCTTTCTGCTCTGGCGCTGGCGGTCCAGTCTGTGCTGTCGGCGGGTCTCACGGCTTCGCTCCTGACGTTTGCCCTCAGTCTGTCTCCTGGAACTCGATTCTTCCTTGTGTTCTGGCATTTTTCTGTGGCTGAAGTGAGTGAAGGGCCTCTCTAGTCAGCCACCTTGTAAAAAAATAAAATAATTTAAAAAAAGATTGCCCATGGCTGTGAGAATTGGATTCCTGCAGGTTAATTTAGCCAGGCTTCCACCAGCACCTGCAGCCTGGAGCTCTGTTTCTCAGGCCTCCTGGCTCAACTTTGCATAACTTTGAAATATTTTAGGGCACTGCTGAGATATGCTATAAACATGTGACAAACACCCAGGGACTCATCACCACTTAGGTGGTGGTTAAATTTCACTTTGAGGCCTCCTCAGAGGCCAAAGATCAGGGTCGACAGCCTCTACCCTCTGGCCCAGCCCCTGCTGTTGCCTGCCAGTGTTGGTGTCCACAAAACAGTCTTGATTTTATCTTTTGCCATTTCTTTCTTCTTCTGTTTTTTTTTTTTGTTTTTGTTTTTGTTTTGTTTTGTTTTGATTTATTTATTTGAAAGTCAGAGTCACACACAGAGAGAAGGAGAGACAGAGAGCAAGAGAGAGATCTTCCATCTGCTGTTTCAGTCCTAAAGAGGCTACAACAACCAGGGCTGGGCTAGGCTGAAGCCAGGAGCCAAGAGTTTCATCTGGGTCTCCCACGTGGATGCAGCATCCTTAGGGCTTGGCCACCTTTGCTGCTTTCCCAGATGCATTAGCAAGGGAGTTGGATCAGAAGTGGAGCAGTGGGGACTTTTCACACAGCAGGCTTCAGCTTTTTCTTCTGCACCACAGGTCTGGCCCCATATCCCCTGCCATTTCTTCCCCAAAAGGCACCCCCATGAGGTGAAGTTGTTACAATCTTGGCTGCCTCTGAGAATCAGCCACCACTCTGGCCCATCTGCTCACCCAGAAGTATCCTCTGTGAAGAGAAGAAAAATAATCCCAGTCAAGCAGGGAAGCTCTGTGATGCACAGGTGTCCAGGAAAGCAATGTCCACAACAACTTGGAGTCAAGAGCCACTGTGCTTGGACATACTAGGCTGCATGCCAGAGTTCATTGCTTGGTAATCAGGGGAAAATCAAGTTCAGTTCCCACTACACTCCCTGACCAGCCTCACTTGTGCAGTGAGCAACCTGCATACTGGTACCTGGGGGCACTTGTGTCACTTGGATACTGCACTTGCCTGCACGGTTACCTGCTTTAATTCCTGCCTCCTGATGTCCATTCTCCATATTAAGCCAGAGGGGTACCTTCACACACATACAGTACACACCTACACACGCACATATGCACATACAGGTGTGCATGCATACCACATCTTACCCATTTCAGTTCCCAACTAAAAAAGTATTCGGGGATTCCATTGCTCCTAGAATAGGCTTGGGTAGAGAGGGCACACACAGAAGGACCTTGTTGCTCGGCCAAGGGCATGAACACTGATCCCAGACCACAGAACGCAGGGCGAGTGCTGCAGTCCCCAGGCTCTTAGCAGGTGTGCACAGGGACCAAGGAGGGTCACAGGAAGAATGGCGGCCACCCTTCCCTAAGGGTGGGGAACCTGGGCTTCCCTGTCCTAAACCAAAAAAAAAAAAAAAAAGTGACTAGACCTGGACTCACTGACCCTGAAGTTGATGATTATCAAACATCCAGGTGTCAGCCAATGAGGCGGCCACCCAGCAGAGGTGGGGCAGGCCCAGAACAGTCCCTCCTGGATGCCAGGGACAGGCTGAGGGTCTGAGGCCATGCTGCACACGCTCAGCTCTGGAGAGCAGGTGAGAGGCTGGGGAGGGGGACAAGGCTGGGGCTCTGAGTGTGGGGTGGAGTCCTGGGGCCCGTGCTGGTGGTTGGAGGCGATGTCCTCTCATTAGGCTAAACATGGACAAATCAGGGAGGAGCCTGTGCTGAAAGGGGTGCTTGGGACACAGGATTTCTGCAATCATGGGCTTGGAGGGGGCCACAGGGCATGGGGCACAGAGGCTGCTGCACGGTCCAGCCCAGTGTGGCCAGGAGATGACAGGGAAATGAGACATGACGGCGGAGGACACGGACTTCAAGTGTCCATGTGTTACATGTGCTAGTGCGTTAACTTCTCAGATCTTATTTTACCCTGTGGTACAGATGAGCCCGCTGCCTCACAGAGGTTGAGTGCCATGGCACAGGTCATGTGGCCAGCACACATGGACAGGCAGAATGAGGGCAGCACTCACAGAGGAGGTCTGCTCCTTCTTGGCTAAGGCATAATGGCACCCACCTGAGCAGGGACTCCCAGTACAAGGAGCCTGGGAGCACGGGCACTCATGGGAACTCACGTAGCTTCCTCTCTCTTCTCCAGGGCAGTAGCAGGAGTGCAGGGGTGCCCAGCTGTCACTCTGGACATCGAGATTCAGACACAGACATCTCTCATGGCTCCTTATCACATCTGCAAATACCAGGAGAGAGACCGCAAAAGTGTCCTGGCCTTGTTCTCCCAGGGGATGGAGGAGCACATTCCCAGTGCTTTCCGCCACCTGCTGAGGCAGCCCCAAACCCTCCTGCTCTTACCTGGGGTCCCCCTCGTCCTCCTCTTTTTCTCTGGCTCCTGGCTCCTCGCACTGCTGGCCAGCCTTGCCGTCCTCGTGGTCCTGAGGCTTGCTGCCTCCTATCCCTGGAAGAAGTACGTGGCCCTGAGTCTGCAGTCAGACATGGCCGACATCACCAAATCCTACCTGCGAGGGAGTGGCTCCTGCTTCTGGGTGGCCGAGTCTGAGGGGCAGGTGGTGGGCACGGTGGGAGCTCTGCCCGTGCAGGATCCCACCTTGAGGGAGAAGCAGCTGCAGCTCTTCCATCTGTCTGTGGCCTTGGAGCACCGGGGTCAGGGGCTAGCGAAAGCCCTGGTCAGGACGGTCATCCAGTTTGCCCGGGCCCGGGGCTACAGCGAGGTCATGCTTGACACTACCACAGTGCAGACTGCTGCCCTGAGCCTCTACCAGGGCATGGGCTTCGAGATCAAGCACCAGTGCTACTTCCACGTGAGTGCGAGGCTGGTGGGTCTTTCTAGTGTTCGCTTAGTCTACCGCCTGCCTTCTTCTCAGGGAGGGGGCCTGTGTGGGAGCCAGGAGAGCATCGACCCTGCTGTGGTCACAAGCCCACCCTGATGTTTGAGTGCCATCAACAATAAAAGCTCTTTACTCTTGCAAGTATGAGTCCCACGTGTGTGGTGCTGGGAGGCATACGGGGCTGTGCTGCATTCATTCTACTTGGGGTGTTTCTGTTCCATTTCTCCTGTACCACAACAACTTTCTTTGAAAAATCAGCTGCCAAACGGTAAGATGTGCAGGCTTCAGCTCCTGGGTCTGCAGAGAGTAGCTGAAGCCGAGCTACGATGGTCCAGCCCCTGTCGTCTCAGATTGCCCAGATGTCCTGGGTTGGTGATGGACAGGGTGGCTGAGCACCATTGTGTCCACCAGACTGGCCTAGGCATGGTTTAAGAAAGTTTCAGTTTACTTTATAAATAAATAAATTGGCTAATGGTTCCAGCTGTCCCCTTTGCCAGCAAGGTTCTCTCTCCTCGCAAGACCACCCCAGTTGTGTGGCTCCTCCAGGGCTCAGCTGAGGGGCAGGGCTGCCTGAAGTGAGGACTTCTGAGCCGGGGGTTGCCCTTCCCCCTGTGCCCTGGTGGCCACTGCTGCTCACTCCTTTGGGACTCCCAATGTGGACCCCAAACCTGTGGCTGCACAGTGCGCCTAAGCGGGTTGCAAATCCTCAAGCACAGGAATCCTGGCCTTACCAAAGATCTGCCCTGAGCATTCTCCATGGGGTTCCTCCCCAACGCTGCAGGGAGGTGGAGTTGTCCTAGTCTCTGGAGGCGAGTCGGAAGCTGAGGTTACATCGCCCTCTGCTGGCACCACCAAGACGCATCTGAGTTCTAACAGCCATGGGGAGGGGCTAGCTCACCCTGAGCAGCCCCACTCAAGTCCTGGGCCAAGTCCATATTCAGTGCAGTGAGTGGAGTTTTCTTGAAGCTGAGGTGCTCAGTGAGTACATCTCTGTGATCCGGGCGGAGGACCACCACTGGTCCTGGTGGTGGATTAGGGGACCAAGGAGCTATACTGGACCCCCAGACAGAGGCATTTCATGTGGCAGCTAAGAGTTTGCGTCTTGAAGTCTGAGACCAAAATGTGCTCTTTCCAAGGAGGGGATCAGGAGCAGCGTGGGTTTGCTGGGGGTGTGTGTCAAGGGAATGGGAAGCAAGGGGTCCTTGAGGCCCCACCCTCTAGTTGGTAACAATGGCTGGGGCTGATAAAGGCGGCCATCACCCAGTGTTGTGACTGTACCAATTGCCACCAAATGAACCAGTGAGAATGGGTGTTTATGTTGGGTCAATTCCACCTCCAACAGGGAGCACAAGGAGGCATTTCTAGCGCGCTGACACTCTGAGAGGTTAGAGACGATGGCGATGTGGAGGAGTTTCTTGGGGGACGGAGCTGCTGCTGTGCTGAGGGCAGTGAGAGCTGCCGAGTTTAACCCCAGCATAAAAACTGTCAACAGCAGTCTTGTGCCCTCTGCTCCCCAGCTCCTGGCCCAAGCGGGCCCCAGCCCAGGCCTCACCTCTTCTGCCTCCAAACTGGAGCATCTCAGACTCTCCTGGCCTCAGCGTCCCCCTGTGAGTAGGTGGGAGGTGATTGCTCTTTTGGTAAGACCAGTATTGGCATATGAAAATGCTACTGATTTTGTACGTTGATTTTGAGCCCTGTGACTTTACCGAATTAGTTTCTCAGTTCTAACAGCTTTCTGGTTGGGTAGAATGTCCAGTTTTTTCCATGTACAACATCATGCCACCTACAAACATCAATATTTTGATTTCCTCCTTTCCACTTTCGATGCCCTTTCTTTCTCTTCCAAAATTGCCCTTGCTACCACTTCCAATAGCTATCCAGTAACAGGTAAGAGTGCACCCCTCTGTCTTGTCCAGGCCATTCAGCACGATAATGGCTGCTGGTTTGTTTTATATAGCCTTTACAACGTTGAGGTGTGTTCCTTCTATACTTAGCTGTCACTTTTTTTTTCTTATCATGAAAGGACATTGAATCTTATCAGATGTTTTCTCTGCATCTAGGGAGACAATCATATGGTATTGTTCTTCATTCTGTTGAAGTGACTGAAGACATTTATTGATTTGCAAACGTTGAGCCACCCTTACAATCAGGGATAAATCGATCGTGATGTATGGTGCTCTTGACGTAGCAAGGATTTGGGTAGCTAATATTTTGTTGAGAATTTCTGCATCTATGTTCATTAAAGTTATCGGTCTGTAATTTTCTTTTTGTGTTGTGCCTTTGGTTTGGTTTTGATAGAGTGATGCTGGCCTCAAGATTTTGGCAGCGTTCCATCCTTTTCAATATTTTTTAATAGACTGAGGAGTATTGGAATTCATCCCTCTCAAAATGTTTTGTAGAATTCAGTTGTAAAGGGGCTGGTGCTGTGGCGCAGCATGTTAAAGCCCCAGCCTGAAGCGCTGGCATCCCCTATGGTTGCCAGTTTGTGTCAATTTGTGTACTGGCTACTCCACTTCCGATCCAGCTCTCTGTTATGGCCTGGGAAAGCAGTACAGGATGGCCCAAGTCCTTGGGCCCCTGCACTGCATGGGAGACCCAGAAGATGCTCCTGGTTTCAGATCAGTTCATTTGGGTAGTGAACCAGTGGATGGAAGACTTTTCTCTCTCTGCCTCTACCTCTCTGTAACTCTGCCTTTCAAGTAAATAAAGAAATAAATCTTACAGGTCTCCCATCAATGAAAAGTCCAGGTTTGATGGCTTTAAAACTGAATTCTTTTTTTTTAAAAAAAGATTTATTCTATTTATTTGAAAGACACTTTTAAAAAAATCTTTAAATTAACCTTTTAAAAAATAAAGAATTCAGAGGCTTAGACCACTATGCCACAGTGCCAGCCCCAATGGGAGACTTTTAAATACTACTTTAATCTCATTACTTGTTATGAGTCTGTTTCTAATTTCATACCTTCTTGATTTAATATTGGTCAGGAATTTAGCCATTTCTTCAAGGTTTTATAATTTGTTAGCGTATAGTTAGTTGTTCATAACAGTTTCTTATGATCTTTTGTATTTCTGCGTTATCAGTTATAGTGTCTCCTGTTTTACCTCTAAGTTCATTTTTTAAAAGGGATTGTTGATTCGTTTATTTACTTGACATAGAGGAAGAGAGAAACAGAGTTTCCATCCACTGGTTCACTCTGTCCACTGGCCATAATGGCTGTGGCTGGACCAGACCAAAGCTGGAAACTGGAACTCCATCTGGTCTCCCATAAGGATGGTAGGGGCCCAATCCCTTGAGCCAACTCCCACTGTGTTCCAGGTGCATTATCAGGGAGCTGGATCAGAAGTGGAGCAGCTGGGACTCAGGACCTGAACTGGCACTCTGATATACGATGCTGGCATCGCAGACAGTGATATCACATTGCACCACAGCACACTTCCCATCTCTAATTTTTTATTTGACTTCCATTTTTTTCTTTGTCAGTCTGCCTTAAGGTTGTCTATTTTGATTTATTATTTTTAAAAAATTTTTTCATTTTGTTGACCTTTTGTCTTATTTTTTGTTTCAATTTCATTTATTTCCTCTCTTATTCTTACTATTTCTTGCCTCCTGCTAATTTTGGAGTTTGGTTTGGTTTGTGTTTTTCTATGTCAATGAGATGTATCATTAGATAGTTTATTTTCCATGTGGGTGGCAGGTGGCCCAAATACTTGGACTATCTTCCCCAGCTTTCCCAAGCACTTTAGCAGGGAGCTGGATTGGAAGCAGAGCTGCTGGGACTCAGTCTGGTGATCTGACACGGGATGCTGGCATCCCAGATAAACACGGTGCCAGCATCTCCCACAATTTTGATAAGCTGTATTTTCATTTTCAGCTATTTCATGAAATTTTCAGTTTCCTTTTTAATTTCATCAGTGATCTACTGGTCATTCAACAACATGTTCAAGTTTCGTGTACTTGTCAATTTTCTATTATTATTATTATGATTGACTTCTAGTTTTTTCCTTTGTGGTCTGAGAAGACAACATGGTATGTTTCTATTTTTTAAATGTACTGAGACTTGATTTGTGGCCTACTATTGAATTATCCTAGAAAATGTTCATGTGCTGAGAAGAATGTGTATTCTGTACCTATTGGGTGAAATTTCTGTAAATGTCAGATCCATTTGATCTCTAATGTGGCTCCACTCTGATATTTCTTTGTTGGCTTTCTATCTGGATAATCTGTTCATTCATTAATGAGTGTTGAAGTCCCTCACTTATTGTACTGAAGTCCAGCTGTCTCTTTAGGCCTATAATATTTCCTTATGGATCCGGGTGGTTTTGAGTTCATGGATATTTATGATTATTGCATCTTATTCTGAATCAGCCCTCTAATCAATGTATAATGTCCTTTTAAACAGTTTTTTAATTCAATTCTGTTTCACCTGATATGAGTATAGCTACTCCTCCCTGTTTTGGCTTCCATTTGCATGGTATATCCTTTTCCAACTCTTTACTTTCAGTATATGCATATCTTTACAAGTGAAGAGCATTTCTGTAGGCAGCAAACAGCTACGTCTGTTTTTTCATTTCTCCTTTACTTCGGAAAGAGCTTCACTCGACACGATGTTCTTGGTGGGAGCCTTTCTCTATCGAGACTTTGGATATATCATCCCACTCTCGACTGCAAGAATTTTGATGAGAAATCTATTGGATTATATTTTACATAACTTGATTTTTTCTCTCACTTTCTTTAGGCTTCTCTCTTTGTCTTTACCTTCTGAAACTCTGACTACAGTATGCTGTGGAGGTCTTCGTGCTTGTCTGGTTGAGGTACTCAGAGCTTCCAGGACCTGGATATTCATATCTCTTCCAAGACATGCAAAGTTTTCAACCATTATTTCGTTCAGCAGGTTCTCAGTGCCCTTTCCCTCCTTCTCCTTTAGGTACCTATGATACATGAATATTTACTCCCTTAATGGTATCCCAAAAGCCTCATAGGCCTCCTTCACTCTTTAAAATTATTTTCTCTTTATTTTTGTCAATTTGATTATTTCAAGGCCTTGTCCTCAAGATCAGAAATTCTTTCCTCCACTTCATCTATTTTGTTGCTGAAGCTCTCAATAGTGTGGTTTTATTTCATTAGTTGAAATTTTTCAGCTCCTCCTTGATAGGTGACAACTAACTGAGCACCAAAAAGGAAACCTGTTAAAGTGAAATGAACACTATGAGAAACGGTGACTTGATCAGCCCTCACCCTGACTGTTGATGAGCAGCTTAATATGTTATCCCTCTTAGTATTTTTTTTGTTTGTTCTACTTAATACTTTTGGTTGAATACTGTAATCAATACACAATTCTTCTTAAGTGCTGAAACTTAACTGAAAAGTGACTGCTGTTAAATATAAGAGTGGGAATAAGAGAGGGAAGATATGTGCAATTTGGGACATGCTCAAGCTGACTTACCTCAAACAGTAGAGTTAGAAACATACCAGGGGATTCGAATTCAATCCCATCGAGGTGGCATGTACCAATGCCATCTCACTAGTCCCAGTGATCAATTTCTGTTCACAATTGATCGTAATGATAGGACTAAGAACCAAAGGGATCACAGAAACAAGAATAGTGTCTGCAAATACTAGCTG